GCTGATTCACGTCTTAGTTGTGGAATAGGGTCTCCTGCTCGGCGGGTACTCTCCTGTGAAAGCAAGGGTTGGTGAAGGGGAAAGATCTTCCCCGGGAATCCTAGTGAGAAAGAGAAGTCTCTGAAGAAAGTGAATTTTTCCCTGGCAGGATTGATTTGCCACTCATTGGGGAACTTTCTTGAAGCATTTTGATGACATGCTATGCCAGATTATAATGAAAGAGATCATGAGGAACCTTTATGCTCTCTGCAGTGTTTAATTGCACTTTAAGGCAGATAAATACATTGCACTAGATACATACTGTTTTTTCAGACGTTGCTCTCTAAGCACTTTCCATCTCTTTTTTTTTTTTTTTCTTATAGCTATACTACATCTAATTAGCTGTAACTTAGCGTTTGGGTAGGCTATTCAGCATTCTTAAATACCTTTTTCACTTTTATATCCTAAACAGAGTAGTACAACCTGGGCTTCTTATGCAATGGAAACTTAACAACCCTGAAGTCTGACTGTGGACACTTCTTCCTGAGGCAGGACACTTTGTCCTTATTGACAGTAAACTCTGCCCTTGCCTAAAAAAAGCTGCTTTCAGCTGGGTTGAAAATGGCGTGCTGTGTTAAAGAGCGCATGGATCCAGTCAGTACTGGTCCGTGGAGTTCCCTACAGGTGATGGGCAGATCAGCCAAGTTTCTTTTGTCCTTTGCATTGTAAGTGCTTTGTGTCTCACTTTCTCATTCAGTAAACATAGTCTCTTGGCAAGGAAGCATCACATTGAAAGTAAAATCAGTAGGTTGTCTTTCTGCAAAAGGGGAATTTTAACACTACATTCTCTTGCCTTTTATCTGCAAAGCTTGTTTGTTTTTTCCTGCCTCTTCCATGAAGATAATAAAAATAAAACCGACATTGGGGTGGTCTGGCTGAGCCACCATGGACCTGAACTTCGAAGGTTAGTTCAGGATCTGTTGATATACTAAACATGTAATGCTAACAGCATTTCACATCTGCAACTTTCCTGTTGTCGTTTTACACTCCTGAGCCTAGGGTGATACTGTTAACTGGAAAAGAGAATGCTGCTGATGGCATGACAATTCTGCATGTGTATAAATGCGGTATGTACTTGCCAACAGGTCCTCTGAACTACTTGCCATGGCGCTTTCAATAATTTTCACTTTGAAAATAATCTCTAATTAAGAATTTTTCTCATTGATAGACTTGCTTTATTCTGTCAAAGGTGTTTAATAGATTGTTCCGTCTAATCTGGCTAGTCACTTCTAGCTAAAGCCAGTCTAACATCTAAAACTTCCCATGGAAATGATAAACGCACTACTACAGATGGGAAAAACCCTCTCTTCCTTTTTGCAGGAAATACTACTGTGGTAAATTAAAGTTAATCTCTTATTTAAAAATACATATTTTTGTCAGTGTTATTGAAACTAGTCCTATTTATAGACGTGAAAGTCTCACATAGGATCTCTCTTGCATTTCTATGAAAAGCAAAGAGGGATTTCAGTACAAAAAATTTTGAAGGAAATAACGCTGTTCATAATAACTAGGGGCAATGGATGGGCATTATCATATCAGCTTGCTTCCATCTTACTCTTCTTTGCTGTGCAGAGAACATTTCATGAATACGCAGAACTGTTTAAAGTATTTTTCCAAAATTCAGAAACCAAACCAAACTGGAAGAAGTGACTCAGTAATGTAAGGGTTACTGCTGCTATACAAAAGTTCTTGGTCTCCTTCAACAATAGGCTGTTCAGCAAAATTATTTCTGTATTTTATATGCCTCTCTTGCCCTTTCTGAAGTGCAGGTAGACTTAAGGCTTCGTTTAACCAGTCATCTAATCATGTGAGCAGAGTAGGAAACTGCCACTGTAGGTGGACGTGCACTTGGAACCATTGCAAACTGGAATTAAAAGAAAAATTGCTGATTTGATGTTGAGGATGTAGATATTATTTTTACTTCTTCCACTGCACATGCTTAAAATCTTCCACTTGTCTGTTCACTTCTGTTTTTTCATCTATATGGGCATAGTACTGTTCTGCACGTTGGCTCATTTTTCACGTTTGCACCTTTCTTATCTCTTTAAAATATTTTAACATGAGATTATATAAATAGAATCTTTCGTGCAAGTTTATTCAGACCAGATTATCTGCAAAATGTGTCTCATCACTAGTGCAAATGCAAGCAAAAAGTCAGTAGGTTTTTATGGTCCGCTCAAGTATATGGTCCACTCTGTCTGCCCTTAGAAATGGCTATATCTGTTCAAAGTTGCAGTTTGGTTTGTCATGAGTCCTTACAGTCTGCCCGAAATGCGAACCTAAACTTAGGCCTGGTCACAGAAAGGCATGAAGAATAAGCAGAACTCAGTATAATTGTTTTCCTTGTCTTTAAGCTATTGGACCTGTGCTTTATAGTGTTTTGAGATGGTTTGAAAAAGGTTCTTGAAGTAGAATCTGTTAGTGCATACCAGGCTGTAAAGCAGCATGTGATATATTTGATGTAATCTTGATCAGCTAGCGCTGCTATCTCTGTTTCCTTCCCCAGCTCCTCCAAACTAATATGCAACTACTTTTTATAAGGTCCTTTTGACTTGGACCATATAGCGGCATTTTTTAATGACCTTGTAGGTCTTTACAGAATTTGTTACATTTTTTCAAGAAATATTTCTCAGGTGTGCGAATGAACTTCTGGTTGTACAGATCTGACCGGAGTGGTCAGTAGCCCTTTGCTTTGCTTCACTGTCATCTAGTGTGGAAGTCCCGTGTTCATTCAAATGCCATCTATGCCTGATGTGGAGCAGGGACTCTATGTTAGTGTTCTATGTTTCATATAAATGTCGTAACAAACAGGCTACTTTAATTTTACTGTGTAAGGACTTTTTTTTTTTTTTTTTTTTAACTTATCCTGGGGGGAAAAAAAGTTGTTCTCACTAGTGAAGAATGAAAATACCCAGCCTTACATTTATACAAATTTACTGTTGGGTTGGGGTTGGGTTTTTTTGGTATAGTTGCATACCTAAAGTACATTCTTCTAATGACAGCCTGTAAAACAGCATTGTATAGAACTATTTGGAAAAAAAAAATGTTCTTGTAGTCTGCGTTAAGGTGAACTGACTCTTTGACCTGTATGCTCAATTTAATTTCCATGAAAAACAACATTATACGAATTAGTAAATGGATATGGAGGGGCATACTGCACAAATGAGGAATATATACATACTTCCTCTCATCAAAGTCCTTTCCGACAGAAAATATTTTCTTTTCTCTCTCTTGTTACAGATCAAGCATATGATGGCTTTCATTGAGCAGGAAGCCAATGAAAAGGCTGAAGAAATAGATGCAAAGGTAAAAATGGAGGTTCAACGTCAGTAAGTGCAAAAGGAAAGCGACATCTGACATTCTGTTTTGATAGTTGCAGTCAGAGCAGGCTTAGAACACTTCTGCAAACTACAGCTTACTTCACATTTAGTTACTGCACAGCAAAAAATGATGCTACCAAATTAAGTTAATATTTGTTAGCTTTTGACAAATCAAAACAAGTCGGAGCTATTTTTGGTGAAAGTTTTCGTAGTGGTTCTTAAATATAAATTTATTCATATGCAAGTTCATTCATTTTTTTTTAAGCAGTCAGGAGAGCCGAATGGCAATGTGAATGGGCTGGATTAAGTGGAACACCTTCCCCCATCTCCTAGACATAACTTGACATCACTGAGGATTAAAGGAGTTCTCTGCATAATTATGAATTCTGCTAAGGTTTGTCATAACAAGCTATTTACCAGAAGGATTATTTTTAATTTTTGCTTGACTTCCATAGCGTGTCAGGCAGAGACATTAGTAGTAAAAAAAAAAAAAAAAAAAAAAAAAAAAAAAGAAGAAAAAAAAAAAAAAAAAAAAAAAAAAAAAAAAAAAAAGTAAAAAGTAGCAATAATACTAGTAATCTTGCACAACCATTCATACATGTACCAAAATGATAAAAGATGAAAGTTAAAGTGGTTAAATTGTGTTGGTGAAAGTTTGTTTGTAAGCAGGTTCATAACAGTACCTAAACCCGTGTAGCCACCTGCAGACTTAATTCTAGATGTGATTTAGTAGGTATCCTGGGGAACTAAAATATAAATTTACATGTAAGGTGTGAGTTGAATTACTTGCAGAATCCTTCGCTTAGGTTAAGCTGCAACAGACTGAGTTTAATAGTAACCTGGTGATAGAATATAGATGTTTACTAAGGAAGGATTAATGGTGCCTTACAACCCTAACAATCTGCATTATACCAATACTGAAATATCTTATTGGTGTTGGACTTGGCATATGTACTACTAATAATATTTAATCTCCCTTAAACATTTAGATCTACACAGATATTTAATCAATACTAACACAGGTATTCCTGATCATCTGCATATAGAAGTCAGAAGCTGAGATTAGATTCTCAGGTATAAATAGGAAGACTTGCCATGTGTTTTCACATGCTGTCTTGCTAGGCTTTATAAAAAAGTAGTAGCTATACTGTCACTCTCCTTGTGTAAGAATTGCTTAAAGTAATGAAGTTTGTGGACACTGAGGACTGGGTAGCTTGTTTTAGGTAGAATCTCTTGTAGTCAGAAAAGAGACCGATTCTGCAAAACCAAATCAGACCCGAAGTTCAGATAAAATGAGTTTTGCTCAACAGTATATAATACATACATTTGGTAGTTTTGCACCTGAGGAATAAATACTGCAAGGAAGCACATGTCAGTCAATTGATATAATAAGCTGTATCTTAGTTAGCAAAGTTCTAGTTCAGTAGAACACATCCTGAACTCCCTTTGACTTGAGTACTAGTTGACATGTTTTGTTTATATGGAACCATAAATTGTATCATCCTAGCTTATTTATGAATGTGCTCTGAAAGCATGGCTGTTTCATTTTGATTCTGTGTTTTTCAGCCCATGGAATCAATTTCCACTTCAGTTATTTAATTTTTACTATAGGCAGAAGAAGAATTCAACATTGAGAAGGGTCGCCTTGTTCAGACACAGAGGCTGAAAATCATGGAGTATTATGAAAAAAAGGAGAAACAAATTGAACAGCAAAAGAAAATGTAAGTTTCTTATGTTAGATGGCTGCCTTCAGAGCCTGAGCTCTGCCATTTTATTGCTAATTTTATACAAAACTGTTTTTCCCTGGCAAATAGGCAAATTGTATGCAATATATTTAGTTCTAATTATGAGTTTCTAGTTTTCCTGGGGAGAAATTATCAAAGGTGAGCTACAATAATATAACTGTTAGTAAGTGTGGTGAAAGAATCTTCCATATCCCTTGATGTAGTTAATGTCTAGAACTCTACCCTGGTCTATTACTCTGGGACAAATGTTCATGTCAGATTTAGTTTTGGTGGGTCTTTACTGATGGGCGGGGTTCTGCATTGTAATAATTTGTGCAAGTTCATAAACATTCAAACAGGTAAACAGCTTTGTTATTAAACGCTGTAGTATCGTTATCTGTAAATGTAAAGTATACAGTTAAATGTTGCAGCTCTTCTGTCAAAGTCTGATGGATTGATTCAACTTTATCATGCAACTTGCAGTCAGATGTCCAACCTCATGAATCAGGCAAGGCTGAAGGTCCTCAAGGCAAGGGATGACCTTATTGCAGTGAGTATCTCTGTAGTAAGGACACAGAGGTTCTATTCCTACCATCTGTTAGGAAATGTTCTTAACCATTCTCTAAAGGAAAAATATGATTTGTGATTGAGTGGCACTTGCTTCAACATACAAAAAACCAGCTTTCCCAGCTACTCTGAAAAGTCATTAAGGATTTAGTCTGGCTTCAGTAGTCTGCTTTTGCTTATTTTCATCGTTTCTATTACCTGCTTTTTTAGGGACGTACAGTTCTCTACCAGGAGCATTGCAGGCAGCAGTTTTATGTATAATTTCGACAGTAGCTTACTTCTTTAAAGAGCAGGCACCCTTTCTTGCACGGATGGTAGAACTTTGAAGTTCTGCTTGCCTGAAGTGACATTTATGCATTAGAACTGGCATGGCTTAAGCAAGTAGCCTTAAAATGGCACTAACTGGGTTTTTCTGTCTCCTTTAGTGGCCCCTAATATATGAAAAGGTTTGTTTCTTGTTCTAGTAGGTGACCAGTCTGTGTGTTGACATATAGGGCGAGTGATCATTTATCAGAGCAGGCTACATTTAGACTTAGTTCAGGCTTACTATGTTTAGCTTACACCACGCGGAGTGTATTCTGATTCTGCTCACTGTACAGCTTGCAGGTTTTCTATTGTCTCTTACCCCGTCTCAGAAACAATACTCTGCTAGATGGTGCTGTTGAGCTATTGGAAAAGCTGCAAGACCTGTAGAAGTCAAAAATAAAAAATTGGGTAATGTTGTTCATGTTGATGCTACTATGAAAAAGGGGAGTTAGCAGAAGAAAATCACCAGTTTATTGATTCTTTAAACCTAGTTTCAAACTTGAGATTGTGTTCACAGAGAGGAGGAAGGTGGGTGGCTGAAGAGCTAACTCTATTGTGATAGTCTCTGCTGGATAATCTCTTCCTCATTTATCATCTGACTCAACCTCATGCTTCTGAGTAATGCATAACACTCTTCCTCATTTTAAAAGAGCTCAAGTCACATGCTGCTAGCTCTTTCTTCCTTTATCAGATCTTTGGCCTCTTTCCTAAACAAGAGAGATGAGCAGTTCCAGAAATGCTATGTTACTGTAGGGTGGACAATATAACTAGATTTGACCATGATACTGAATTGTGATAGTGTTATATCCTAGTACTGATTGTGTTAACGTGCACTGTTCTTTTAAATGCTATGAGGCAGGACAGTAAAGACAGGTTTATACCAAATCATACAGTTTTTTTATCTGAAGTAATTATGACGGTTCAGTTCTAGGATCTGTGTTTGAATTGACTCAAATTTCTTAAAAGTTCAATCTCATCTGATACTGATTTGCTGGATAAAGATAATAAAACCAACTACTTCAAATTAAAAATAAGCTCTTGCTTTTAAATTTTGACTTGCATTTACTTACAATTAAATTATACCTAACGTGAATATTGTTTGATAAAAAGATAAATTAGATTTCTTTGCTCAGCCACAAAGCTGAAAAAATAGTTATTCAGACGGCTTTACTAGCTTACATTAGGCAATGATTTACAAAATATTTTAGTTTGTTTGCCTGAATTAATATTATAAATACTATCCTTTTACTACTGAGGTCTCCCTTTTTCATGAAAAAGGAATTCTTGTCAGGTTATAATGGGTTCAGATCAGGGCAGGGAGAATGGAACGGTTTGGAAAGGATATTGTGCCATGTACAGAGATGAAGGTCTAGCTTGGATGAACACCAGCTGGAGTGTACGTTTACGTGTTGGCAGGGTGTGATAGCTATGATAGGAGTACAGAAAGTTGGTAGGCATGAAACCAAATGCCAAACAGATGGGCTGTGCAGATCTGATTTCTTCTGAATGTAGGATTTGCTGAATGAGGCCAAGCAGAGACTTGCCAAGGTGGTGAAGGATACTGCCAGGTACCAGACGCTGCTGGATGGACTAGTTCTACAGGTAAATATTTGAATTGTAACAAATAGATGATCACAGCCCCATCCTCCTAGGTGTCTGTCTTCAAATGTAACCCACTGGAGGTTACAGTTGTATTGGAGTCTAGATCAAATGTGGCTGGGTGATCTTTTGAGTTTTAAACATCACTTCTGCTATGTCTTTCAAACTTGGATTCTGAACAGATAAGTCAGCAGCTTATTTTGAGGTGTAAAACCTGGTATACCAAGCAGCAGTTCCATTATAAGAATAATTGCAGATGCATGCACATACATTGTAACATGCATGCTTGAAGCTTCTGTAGTAAATAGTTGGATCAAATGCACCTTTGGCAAAAGCTGTTTCTCCAAACCTGTAAGTTGATAGTTACCCTCTTTTAAAATCTTTTCGGCATTTGAGACTTAAGTCCTGGCTTTGACAAGTTTACTGTAGTGTGGCATGCATCTGTGACAGACGTACAAGTAGAAGTCAAAGCTTTGCTTAGCTAGAACACTACCCCCAAGCCCCAGAAATTAACTGCCAAAAATGCAATAAGCATTGGCCAGGTTCAATTGTGTGACCACTAGTGCCACCTTCTGCTGTGAATGGGTCCTTTTGCTATAAACTCTCACAGAAGCTGGCCACAAGCACTCCTGTCCACAGTTTGATGACAGTTTTCTTAACAGTGTTTCCTACCAGTTTGTGCTTCCGATTCAGTGCTGTTTCTTTGTCACACCTAGGTCTGGTATTGCTGTACAACAAACAAACATGTCTCACTCCTGCAAGCTGGCCACATCTGTCTTGGCTCATTATGTTTGATCCAGTGACGGATCTGTACTCATCAGTACTCACAGTTGGACTAGATGATTGTTGTAGGTCCCTTCCAACTGGAACTAAGCCTGTTCTGTTCTATTCTATTCTCATGTATTACTGTAGGAACTGCAAGGCAGGAGTTACTAGAACAGGCATCTGAAACCACTGCCTGTCTTCTCCAAGAGCTGCACAGGAGAATGTCAGCTTGGCTGCATGCTCAGTCTACTTAGACAGCAGTGATCCTTACATACGTATACATTGTCTGGGCAACTCAATCCTATGATACATAGGCTTGATTGCTCTTGAGTTCCAAACTTGAAGCTAACAAAGAAACACTTAATCCATAGTTGCAGGCTCTTTCCCAGATATTCGTGATGTCCTCTCAGAATATCTGCATGAGATGAACTTGTGAGCAAAGTACTAAAGAATCGAGGCTAATATTGTCAGGTTTTAGTTTTCAAACTGATCAGCTCCATTCCTTTCTTGGGCTTAAATAATTTTAAGACAATTAAAATGTTGACTTTCTGATACTGTAATGGTTATCTTGTGCAGGGATTCTACCAGCTGCTTGAACCCAGAATAGTTGTTCGGTGCAGGAAACAGGATCTCCCTATGGTTAAGGTAAGGCACCTAGAATAGTTTGACAGTATCCTGCTCACAAAGACTGGGACCTGACTGTGAATATTTGCTGGTCAGATCCCATCTGTATGACATGAAAACAAGCTTTGCTTGCTGCACTTCTGCTGCCAATACAATGCAAGAGAACAAGCATGCTTTTTAAGTTGGGGATCATTTGCTTGCTTGGATATTACCTAGGAAACTTCAGACATTGCTACAATATTAAAAATAATAATTGGATTTGGCTCAAAAGCCATACAGAAATACATTTGCTTAATTTAAAAAAAAAAAAAAAAAAGCCCTCAATCCCTTAATTTTGTTATTATAAATGATTGAGTGACCAAACCCAAGTGGCGCGCTAGCATTGGTCAATGCTAATTGGAGCTTTATTTTGTATCCTAGACTGCTGTACAGAAGAGCATTCCCATCTACAAAAATGCCACAAAAAGGGATGTGGATGTTCACATTGATCAAGACAACTTCCTGCCAGAGGAAATGTAAGGAGAATGGGAGTCTTTTATACAGAGAACTAACTTAATGCAACTTTTCAAGCCACCGCTTCTGCTAGAACAGTCTCGGAAAATTATGTAGGGAATATCCCCACAGTGTGTCTGCTGCTGTTCTAGTGGAATTTGGCACTTCTTTGTGTTAATCAAGCACAGACTCTGTGGTTTCCTCTAGACAAGCACTGTCTCAATCAAAAATGTCAATGAAAGTTTTGTGTAACCTTCAGCCTGATTCACAGTGCCGAAGCAGAGAATAACTGTAGGTGGAAACTTAACTAACTGTTGATCTTTTAAAGAGAGAGAATATGGATGTAGCCGTGCTTTCTATCTCAAGATGAAGCAAACTGAATCATAAGGTGCTGCAGAATAATCACTTGATGGGGTTTGTGTCTGCTATGTCTGCAAGGCTCTATTTCCATATAGTATGATAAAGAACATGGCACAAAGCTGTATATTCTGATTGTCAGCGATTGTTATGTGTGGGCTAGCAAACGACACTTCTAGCATTTTTCTTCACTTCCGAAAAGCTGGAAACTGTCTATTAATAACAAAATACGGAGTCTGAAGCTGTTTTGAAGTGAAAAATTCCTTATCTCTGCTTGCATTTAGATCATGCTAATGAAGACCCTTGTATGTAGCTGTGGTCTCTGATAACCCCAAAGATGCTTTGCACTCTGCTTCAATGGATCACTTTGTGCTGATTCCTATTAAGACGTGATCAAAAAAAGTTTGCTTTTTAAAAAATAAAAATCTTACCTATGTATCTGACTTGCCTATAAGCACTGACGTGGGATAATCTCTCTGCCACATTCTGACTTTGAGATGTACCATGGATTTCATAGATTTTTTTTTTTCCCCTTTCTAGTGCTGGAGGTGTTGAAATCTATAACAGTGATGGCAAAATTAAGGTTTCCAATACCCTGGAAAGTCGGCTGGACCTTGTAGCTCAGCAGGTGAGTTTCTCTAACAGCCAAGGTGAAGAAGGTATAATTCGTTTTGTCTTGCAATTAAATTCTAGTGTTTCCAATGTGTTAATTGTCACAATAGTGTGTGGGATCAGGTTTCAACGTGGATGACAAGTAAGAAGTTACTTTTGAATGGAAAGAAGCAAATGACCTACTGTTCTGCTTCTCTACAACAAACATGGCTTTTCCCATAATGATGCCTTTTGAATTAAGCATGAGCATATAACTCTAGAAATTAGGATACTGAAAGACTTGTTATGACTACAGTGTAGTCAGATGTTGAAATGCTGAGACTAACTTGAATTACTGAAGCTAGCTTGAGTACTTTGTCTTGAGACCTGTTATACCCTAGTGGAAGAAACTAGCTCTGGCATCTCCTTCTTATGCTGCAGCATAGGCAATCCTTTAAGTCTATAGAGTAGCTGGCAATATATGATCAGGTAAAGGCTTCAGAAAACTCAAATGAACTGACCTCTTAATTTTGAAGCTTAGCTTAGCTAGCACACAGTGCCTGCAATGAGGAATGTAGAGCAATTGTATTGCCCATTGCATGTAACTGATGTACTCTTTCTCAACAGATGATGCCAGAAATCAGAGTGGCTCTCTTTGGTGCTAATGCCAACAGGAAGTTTTTGGACTAAACCTCTATGAAAGAAGGTGGGATCTGTTCCACTGCCATACTGAAGAGGATGCAAAAGCATCTGCTAATTTAAAATCTTGAAATATAACATTACCTTGTCATCCAATATCTGTTCTTCAATGGAATAATTTTGCATACCTGCTGTGCTTAGCCTCTTTACTTGTGGTTAGAAAGTATTGCTTGAAGGATGTGAAGACATACATATTCATCCAAGCAGTGACACTAGAAAATGGAGGCTTTTGGGCTCTTGGCTTTCCTTGCACTATTGTGGCTCTGTAAGGACAAGTGGTCCATTTAGGGTCACTCTCTTTGCTTTGGCCACATCTCTTTCAAGTTGTCTAATCTGTGAAGTAAATTACTATGCTGCCGATGGGAAATTCCTTTTCAGTTAAGGTCTTCAGTGTTATAGAGGGCATGCATCCCTTCCCAGGGTTAGTAGTTTAATTCATCTTACTTGGTCAGGCATCATTCTGTTCTGTATATGTGATTAAAACAAAAAAAAAAAGCCTGAGCCTGTAAAACTTTATTTATTAAAATAAAAATGCGTGTGTGTATGGAGTTCTTTGTAGCTTCTCTCTGGGGGATTGGCAGCAACCTTTGAAAAGTTGTCTTGTGTGTATAAGGACTTACTACTTGAGAGCTGTGTGTAATAACTGTTCTGTGAAGCTAAAATTTGAGTGCATGGAGCTATTTGCTTGAGTAATGTTGGATTGTAGGCATGCCTTCTGAATAGGGCTCTAGGATGAGCTTCATTCTTCCTGAAAAATGGGTCAGTAGTTTTGCTGTTTGGTCCCTCAGTCTATTTTCACAAGGGAGAATTAGAGTAACACAACTGCACTATTTAGATATAACAAATACAATCCATTTCCAGTTACAAGTTTGTTGCTTCTGTGCGGAAGATCCAAACCATACTCCTTCAGTAATTGTGTTTCAGGACTGGAAGAACAACAGCTGACTCTGTTACAACTATTCTCTCTATTGTTAGAAATTGTTAAATTAGATAACAGTAGTGTAACTATATTCATTACTGAATCTGTTAAATTTCACTAATGATTACTTCTCCTTTGCTTCTGCAGTGATGACTAGTATTGTCTCCAGCTTCTATGGTGTAGGACAGAAAAATTCTTGAGGTGACTTTCCACACTACAAGCCTCTGACAGAATACCTGACTCTTCACCTAGCGCTCAATTCTGAAACTTGTTTCATGGAAATAAGAAACTGCTCAAATGAATTACTGCTTGAATATGTTTTGAAATAATCTTCAAGTTTTGCAGTGATTCGTGAATTTTGGTAGGAAGTTTACTTTGTGCCATGAAGAATACTTGCCAACCTGCAGCAACACTGCTTTATGCAATGTTTTTAACCTGAGGCACTTTCTTCTCAAGCTGAGGTGTATGCCCTCGTGTAAAGTAAAGGCTTTAAATGCTAGAAGAGCGTTTCACTGCCTCATTTCTCTAAAATGGAGATTAACTGCGAAGAAAATCCTGAACCCAAACTTGTTTAATCTTTTTATTTCCTCTTGCAAAATAAGATTCTTTAGCAAGTTTGGGGGCTTTTTTTTTTTGTGTTACTGCTCTTTGCTGTTGCATTTAGGTACCAGTTCTTGTTTTCCGCATAGATGGTTATGGTATTTATTCTTTCAGTGCTTTGCTTTTCAATATATGGTTCTACAACTGGGCAATTAGTGTATCTGGACTAAAGTCCTACTCTTTCTAGATTTTGGATAATGGTTACAGCTTTCATCTTTGCCACTGTCAGTGATCAAGCTTCCCGACTAAGCACCAGGCTCTGGTTTTGTGACGCACCTATAGTGAAGGAAAAGCCTTCACACATGCATGCTTAACTGTGTTTCTTGGTGCAAATAGTACTTTTTTTGAACAGATCTGTTTTGGTCCTTTTTGATGGTTTTGTCCAACTCCTCATTAGGCTATCTGTCAGTGTTTTGGAAATGCAGTTGAGCTTATTCGAGTCCTTATTTTCTCTACAGCTAGGGCTAGAAACAGAAACTCTTAAATGTTGAAATAGTACAGCGTATGGAAATAAAATATGGAGGGGTGAGACAAAAGGAGATTACTAGTCCTTGGAAGGTGACGTGCACTATGAATATTTGCTCCAATACTCAATGAAGAGACTTCAAACAGATCGTAAGATTGTCTCTAATGCAATGAATGGCCTAGATTTGGGCATCATTATACAAAAGTGTAGCTTTTATGTTGTCCTAGTGCTACTGCTTCCCTTGGAAAAATGATACAGGCAATGGTGTAATGCATGTAGATAAAGTCACAGGCAGGATAAAATAAAGGTTGGGACACAGAAGAAACAGATAGCTCTATTGTACATCATTCCACACTAATAGACTGTATTACAACATTATCCTCCGGTAGGTTTTATTCACTAAAAATATTTGTATTAGAAGTTATCAATTTTCTCTGATACCGATAACATAAACATGCTCATCTGTGACAAAAAGGGTTTCTTTGTATGGGGTCTGATGGTCTGCTGCTTTCATGAAGGTAGCAAGAGTTTCTACAAATCCAGATGTTTCACGTTTTTGAAAAGCAAAATAATAGCTAGTTAAGTGTCTGACTGCAGAGTTCATAGTGGAAGATATTGGATAGCTATTTACTATTTGCTTTCCTCCGCTAGTTTTTTATTTCCTCTTGTATCTTCCTATGCAGAAAAGAGGAAGAAATAACAACTGGCCTCAAGAATGTTTTTAGTGTTAGTCAGTCACGTGGGCAGCAATGGTTCAAAGCAGGTCCTTAGGAAATGGTCTGAGCTGTATGTATATTGCATCCAAAGTCTGAGACTAGTGGCTTTGTACCCCATTTCAAGGTAACTGAAGGTAACTTGTGCTTACTCAGTTTATTAGTGGAATTGCAGGCACTCTTAGCTTGAACCGTGTCAGCTGCCACAGGAACTTCCTCCTGCACCAGCAGTTTCTTGCAAGTGTGTTACAAAGAGGCACTGATTAATCTTAATCTTGGGACAACCACATGAGAGAATTTAATTAGAAAAAATGGTGTCTGCATTACCTGGAACATCCTTGTCCTTCATTTCAGGTAATAGGGGGCTGTTAGCAGATTTTATTACCTTAGAAGTGGAAAGAAAAACAGGACTATCCTATCCAGGTTTACCTAGTATAGTTAGCAATCCTGTTGTGTCTTCATCCAAGCTTCTTTTCAGCGTTTGTACACAGGTTTTTACAAATAGTATGTGAGACAAAAGCAGAATTTCAGGTGGATTTCAGAGCTCCTACTGGAGCGTCGTTGCAGCACTGTCGATTTCAGCAAATTAAGTAAGATGCACAATTTTTTTTTCTTACTGATTTACCTGATGACCTAGGGCAATTCAGTGAGGGTATTGATCTTTATTCCTCTTTGTATAAGCATGCAAAATATTCCAGCTGGGTATAGTAAATGAGCCCGAAGCCAGATCAGCACATTAAGAAAATGGACAAATACAGGGAACAAAGGAGATGTTAAATCAGGCTTCAGATAAAAGAATTAAGTTGTGATGGAAGAAGCAAGCACCGCAGATTAATGGGGAGTGCAGAGCTGGCTCTGTCTATGGCTGGAAAAGGAGTTAGGGAAATAGATAATGTTGCGCTTCTTGTGCACAGTTGGCAATGGAAAATTTAAGAGCTGGTTTGACACTAAGTAATCAGCAGAGGACTTAAAATGTTACTGCACATCTGAGTCACAACCCCTTTTTTAGTACTTAGTTTTCACACCGAGAGGTATTAACGTTAATCAGAGACACACATGCTGTATGAATGATCCCTGGAGGTGCGTGCAAGTATCAAGGTGAGAGAAAGACTAGAAGAAAACAACCAGAAAGCACCAAGAACAGAGGCCTTGATGTCTTTATTAAGCCAGTAACAGTTGATAGAGCTGTAATTTCTGAAAGGATGCTCTGAGCTGACTGTCACAGGGTGAGTGCTACCCATCAGAAAACTGGTAGTGACAGGGTGAGTGTGCTGCAGGGAGGCTGTTTAAGTGCCCAGCTCCCTGCTGAGAGCTGGTCTTGGAGGAAAGCATGACCATGTTTTCCATAACGAGCCTTGTTTAAAAGCTAGCAGTGAGAATCTGGCTTTTGGGTGAATCCTGCCGTGAAAGCCCAGCTACAGGCCTTTGAGTGCTTGCTGTCCAGACGGGTCGCAGATCCCAGTGCATGGCCGGAGGCAAGCTGGCAGAAGGAGGGTACCTTTTCTGTTGTGTGCCCCTGTCCTGACCTGCTGATGTTAGCAAGCAGTGGGAAATAAGTAACAGAAGCATTCGCATCCCTGTTGGAAAATAGGAGAGTGTTAGATAATACCTTACACATCTCAGTAGCGTACGCAGGACAGTGAGGTCGGAGCCATCTCCATAGACTCACAGCCTGTGTCTAAAATACCTTGGGACATTGAGAGAAAATTACCCATTTATTTAATTCCAAAGAAATTGCAGTAAACAACAAACAGAAAAATTTGGAAATAAAAGCAAACTACCCCAGAGGAAAATTCAAAGCAAAAAATTTTCTTTGGTTCAGTGAACTCTGAGCTGCTACTCTGGGGAGCAAAGACTTAAGACTGCAGTAAAGCAACTTGGCAAAAGGTGTTTAGCCCTGAGCGAGAGCCCAGGCAGACTTGCAGCGTGGTTTGGCTATGTCTGCCCTTTGATACAGGCAGCTCGGAGAGGCACGTGAGGGCCCCCATCCTGCATCTCAAACATGTTTGCAGGGAACAGGCCGTGACAAGAAGGCCCTTCTAGGGCTGGGAAGTTCCTGCTGCGCTCAGCCAAGGTAGAGCTGGCTGGGAAACCCCAAATCTGTCTTCCTAAGCATCTCTTTCAGAGCATCCCATACTGGTTCTTTGGCTTTGCTTTAGAGAAAGCAGGAAAAACATCTGTACAGGAGCACTCTCGGGTTAAGAATCATACTGACAATGTGCCAAATAATGTCATTTCCCAGCCCGTGTTACATGATGGAAATGAAAAGCTGCAAAAATCAAGGCTACCACATTATGTGTTGTGAGAGATTGCATAGTGAAACTACGAAGCGGGGTCCCTCCCACCATGTCTGAAGGCCCTTTCCCATCCTGTGTCCACGAGTGTTTGCATGAGGTCAGCTCCTTTTTCCAGACAGTTCCTGGCCCACACATCGCCTACCTAAACACCAAGTGACTGCATGTACCCAAGCTAGCACCAACTGCAACCCCTGGGGCTGCGCAGGATCTTGGATCTCAACCTACCATCTGCCAGTGGCAGAAACATCCTTATTTTTCGCACGAAGCCATTCGTTAGAAGTCTTAACAGAGGGATTGGGAGATCATTGGTTTCTGAGCAGCTTTGACTTTATGGCAGGAACCTCCAAGATCTAAAAGACTCCCAGACCAACTGCGGGGCATGTAGGGTGTTCATCCTTTCTCCTCCTTCCTCTCTCCTGGGTGCTGGCTGTCCATATGGGCTCTTCAGCCCTGTGCAATTAGCAGGGCCATTTCTCTCCCCAGCTGCTGGCCTTCTCCTCTTAGCAGGTAGCTGCTGGTATAGAGCTGCCCCCCCGAGTAGCTACAGCTCCAC